GAGTCACACGCCATGTGTACAATTTGTACAACACGTGGCGTATGCCATGTATGCCTTGACACGTCAAAACTTTAATGCATTGGTGAACATTTGTTTCATCGAAATTTCGATGTCTACAATCTGTTTCCAGTTTAATTAGAATTTTAGCACTGCAGGTGGGACGTGTAAAATCTGTGGTAGCTGATGGAGTTAAGGAAATATGGTTGAGCAGTGAAGATACTGGCGCTTATGGTAATTTGTACTTATAATTCTATTTTCTTGATTGATTAGTGATTGTGGAAGTACTTTTTATCTGGAGAAACTTTGCCCATGGAAACAGATATAATATATAAGAAAACCAAGTACTGGAAGTTTTATTTATAAGAAAATATATGTAACCTTGAAGTTTTATTTATATATTTATTTGGTTTTTATATTTTCTTTTAACTTGTCTTTCTGAAAGTGTAAGAAATTGTAAGATAATTCCCCAAATAATCTTTAAGTGAATGATAAATTTTTGGGCTTTATAGTTCAAAACGGCAATGTCAGCTTAGTTGTAAACATGTAAAGTATATTTGAACAGAAAAATAGAGTAAATAATAAGTATACCATAGTCATGTGTGTTGAAATCTTCACAGTTGTAGTATGATTGTTTGTTGGATGTTGGAGGAAAAATCATTTCAGGACACACCAAAAAGGTGAAACTCAAAGGAAAAAAAAAAGTCAAAATGCTGTTTATGCCATGTTTTAGTTTATTAATAATGGTTGCCCTGATGTTTGCAGGTCGTGACATTGGGGTCAATCTACCAATTTTATTGAACGCAATTGTTGCAGAACTCCCTTCTGATGCAAGCACAATGTTACGAATTGGGATGACAAATCCTCCATTCATTCTGGAACACTTGAAGGAAATAGCAGAGGTTTTGCGTCATCCTTGTGTATACTCATTTCTACATGTACCAGTCCAATCTGGAAGTGATGCCGTCTTGACCGTAAGTCCTAATTTCATAGATTATTGCATTTTCTTATGGCTAAGTTAGACTTATCCTTTTACTTTGTCTTCCTAGGGCTTTAATTATAAGTGTAGTTTAACAAATCTACAAACCTAGACTTCCGATTACATTAAGGTTGCTTTATTCAAATAGCTATGCTTATTCATTCAGGCAATGAATCGGGAATATACTGTAAGTGAGTTCAAGACTGTGGTAGATACCCTAACTGAGCTTGTGCCAGGGATGCAGATTGCAACTGATATAATATGTGGATTTCCTGGTCAGTATGTAGCTTGATTCTGATATAATGGCTCCTGTTTATTTTTGTACTTCACATGGATCAATTTATTTTATGTTCATATTCATTGTTGATCAATTATTGATGTAATATATCTCCAAAAGTTCAATTTAAGATTGTGACTCTAGGGAACACCAAATGCAAGATAAAGATTAAGTTGGAAGTTTTGAGAGATAAACTTGGCATGAAAGGGATATAAATGATTCCTGGTGGTAAAAGCACTAAGATTAAGTTTGAAATGTTGAGGGGGATAAACTTAGCAGTTAGCATGAAATGGGTGCAACTGATCCCTGGAGGTGAACAAAGTATGTTAGAATGTTTTGAAGAGTTGGAAGACTTCCAGATATGCTCTGGATAAACTGCAAATATGTCTTGGATATGTTTATGGGGCTCAAATTGGTTTTCTTTTGTTCAATAGCATGATTTTTATTTCTTGCTTTTATTAGAGGAAATTAAGGTTCTTTAACATCATAGATAATAATGGCAAGTTTGTAGGGTTTTAAAAAATATGTATGAAAATATTTGGTTGCTAATCATCTAATCAGCAAGTAACCAGTATACTCCCTGCTAGTAAAATTATCTCTCCAAGAACAGCGTTAACAATAACATATTCTTGGAGTATCTATATTATTTACAGTTATGGTGGGTGCTTTGGGGCATCTTGGGGTATTTGATTACTTTATTCTCTGCATTGAGCAGTACAGAGAACATTACTTGACAAGTTTACACTCATTTCATGGCTTCTCAGGTGAAACGGATGAAGATTTTACTCAAACTCTTAGCCTTATTAAGGAGTACAAGTTCTCCCAAGTTCATATTTCACAGTTTTATCCTAGACCAGGTATGATAATATCTGGTATTATAAAATTTCAGATTTCACTTAATAGGTTGGAGCCAGTCTTCGCCTTTTATATGTTTTAATTGCAGCTTGGTCTAAGTTACTTTGGATGCCGTAAAGGGCGTCATATGCACATACACAACGGTTAAAGCATGCTATCTACATATTTCATTGTCCATATATGGGGAGCTGATATAAATACAAAGTTACGGTTAAGTTTATTGTTTTTAGACCATGTAACATATACATCCCCTGCTCAGTTTTATAAGAAAGAAAAGTGTGCATGGATATGGTTTGAGGCAAAATTTATAAAATACGGGAGTAGTATAGCACATGAACGATATGTATGTGTAAAAATTACACGTATTAAACATAATATTAATATTCATTTATTTAAAATAGTATTGTGTTTTTCTATAATAAGTTAAGGTACATGTCAAATACGTAAATTTTTTATGTATTATTGAACAGTGAAAATTATACGTATTAAACATGAAAGTACATATATGTGTAATACTGTATCGTACGTGGAGTTTTAAAAACGTGTATCTTAATGAATCACTGAGACGTACAGTAAATGAAAGTGGTTTTCAAAAAATACGAACTTGTGTGCATAATATGCGATATTACTATATTCGTGGCTGCTACTATTGTAGAAACTATGCTTCAAAAGTTTTGTAGGACAATGTATCATGGGAAACAGGAAGTTAAGAGTGCTTTATTACTTTTTTTTTTGGCAAATAGTCACTGATGTTGGACAAACCGGACAAAAATTGCTCTGTACCAAATGTATGCAGGACCAGAAATAGAGAAGATAGGAATAAAGAAAGGAATAAAACAATGGGAAGATAGGAGAAGAGAGGGCAGAGAGGTAGAAGAGATAAGTTAGAGAAATAATTGGAGGGTATTTTGGGTAAACTCAGTCTTTATTGCCATTCAATATGCCAAACCTAAACCATAAAGCAGCCTATGTAGAGACAAACCTACAGAGTATGATTTGATAGCTACAAATTTTGACTAGAAACATACTGTTAGTTGGGTGACCCCAAGGGATTGTTTCTCCTTTCTCTGTGAAAGTCACGTTGTTTTGTGAAGGGCAAGAAGGCCAAAATTATGTGGGGATGTACGTATGATTATGGCGGTGTTACGTTAGAAGTTTGTTCTTGGTCGGCTCTTTGGTATCTGTCTCCATTGAGTTTAGAGCTTCTTCTTTCTCTGAAATCTGGCAAGATTGGCAGGCAGCCTTATGTTAATTTGCTTGTTGGAGGGATTTAGTCTCTGCTCTCCCTAGATTGTTTTTCTTTATGCTGTCCTGTTGGCGCTGGTTGGTTTTGTGTGCTCTTCTCAACAGCTTTCCCTTCTGATTGTTCATTGTTTGATGCATAAATGGTCCTTATACATGTTAAAATAAATAAAGAGTTGCCTATAGATGTGCTCTAACCACTTGATTTAACTTACCGAAACTGGTGTAGGGCTGGGAAGGAAAATATTTTTAACCGAAAGTGAGGATGATATGTTAGGTGTTGCACTATAGTACAGAAATCAGTTGGCTAATACATAGATTTGTAATTAGCTTCTGTCCTTTATCTTGTTTGTACATTTAGGAACACCTGCTGCAAGGATGAAAAAGGTCCCCAGTACTGTAGTGAAGAAAAGGAGTCGCGAATTGACTTCTGCTTTTGAAGCTTTCGCACCATACGTTGGGATTGAGGGCAGGGTGGAAAGAATATGGATAACTGATATTGCTACTGATGGAATTCACTTGGTAAGCATATGTTTTTGTCGACTCAACATTTGATAATAATGAAGTGCAATGTTGGCGCCAATGATCTTTCGGTCTAGTAACACCATGTTGGCCATTTTAGCCAAGAGTTTTTCGGGTTTATGACGATTCTTCAATCGAGGAATGAACTGAAGTGATTTTTTCAATTTTATGTTCTATGTTTGCCCTAGGTTGGCCATACCAAGGGATACGTGCAGGTTCTTGTAGCCGCTCCAGAAAGCATGTTGGGGACTTCAGCTATTGCGAAGATCACATCGGTAGGAAGGTGGTCAGTTTTTGGAGAAGTGATTGAGACCATCCCTCACATAAATGATAGAACAGCTTCAACAAATGAAACGCGTAGTCAGGAAAAATGTTTTCCAGGTGCCAACAATTGTGAGACTTGCGCGTGTTCAACGGAGCCAGAAACTTGTGCCTGTGGACCGGAAAGCTGTGGAGGACAGGCTACCCCGGGAGAATGTGCTGTAACGAAGAATGCCGTTCTTTTGGAAGATCGGAACAACAGAAATCTGCTTGGATGGTTACTGAGGAAGCGAAAGAATCGGGATGAGAAACGCATGGAGAATGAAATCTGCTTGGGATCCCAGAAGAAGCAAGAGCAAGCCCAAGGAAGATCGGGTGAATGGGGTTTTGTCGATAGGGCTCTTCTGGGCGGGATGCTCGTGAGCTTCCTGACAATCGTAACCCTACTAGTACATCTCGGCTTTAGGATTCTGTCGTCTAACTAGCGAATATTGGTTGTACTAATCCAATTTTTGTCGAGGATATTCAAGGAAAAATGGCCACATGAGCTTGTCCGTATCTTCAGAAATATAATATTTTTGTTATGATTGTAATGCTGGTTATAGAGTGTGGTAGCATGCAAGTTGTTGTAACTGCTTTTCTCTCACGTGCTTTTCTTCACTTGTAATTGAATCTGGATCTGATTTTTTTGTAACCGAAAGCTGAACCTGATGGAAATAAAAGTCTGGAAGGTAGAGATAAACGACCTGTTTGGAAATGCTCTAAAAGTAGTTAAAAGCGTTTTCAGATCACGAAAGTTCTTCTAACCATGTTTGCTCAGTGCTTCTGAGTTCAAAAACGCTATTGAAGTGTTTGCTGGATGAAGCACCATGAAGCACTTGCATATTTATTAAAAATTTAAATGCGCTAATAAAAGCGCTTTTACATAAACTGCTTATGAGCATAAGTGTTTCTTAAAAAAACAGTTCCGAACGAGATAGAAATCTTAAAGAATGACTCTGGAGATGGGATTGACAAACTGGATGTACATATTATTTAGTTGGTTTATTTACTAAGTACCCTTTTTCTTCACAAGAATGAAGTGAATAATCAAGATAATTAGCTGCAGGTAATAGCTCCAGTTTCATAGTAACATATCTGACTTGGATGGCAATCTCTTGAAGAAATTAACTGGTGCAGAAGGCATCCTGCTCCTGAATCGCGGATGCCGAAGCAAGTAGACTCCGAGCAGCACTGCCACGATCTGGAACGGAGTAACGTATATGGACACGGCCCAGATCAACGAGAAGATGATGAAGATTGCTGTTGCTCTCGGATCCCTCCAGCTTAGTAATGCTTGGGCTCTTTCCCCTTGGGTTGCCAAATCTCCAACCACCGTCTGCACCCTTCCCGCCACGCTACGCAACCTGTCGTACCTCATCCTCACAATGTCGGCGGGGGGTCGACTAGTGGGGAAGGTGTCAAATTCCTCGTCCAACTCATCCGGATGGGTGAACTCTGCCTGTGAAATCCGAGCATCCATGTGCGGCGGGCTCCTTGGCCTGAACCTGTAGTTCCATATGCCAATGACAAAGAGGTAGAGGAAAATTGTGGGCAGTATTAGTTCTGGGTAGCAAACTAAAATCACAAACAAGATATGGACGAGGCACGTTGTGATCGGGTTTCTCCAGCAGCAAATGTCGTTAAACCATCTGCAGACAGTCGTGACACTGGAAAGAACAGACATTATGCGATGGAAGTTGGCTTTGCTTCTCCTCAGACTAAACATATGGTAGTCTATATCTAACATGTACTCGACAATCTCCCGCCTGAGCGGTGGCTCTGAACGGGCTAGCCTCGTCGATACAATTTGCATTGCTTGGTGGCGGAGCCAATCAACGTACCTAACAGGTATAGGTTGGATATAGTGCATCTTTGGAAGCAATGGTCTTCCATATTGGGCTACCATGTTAACCCAAGCAGTGCAAGTGAACCTCAATGCTAACTGAAGTTCCCCGTGCTTTTTTAAACCCGAGGGTGTGAGGATCAGCAGGGGATAGAAATGCGTATAAACTCGATCAGTTTCTAAAGTCGACAATCGAATTCTCACCTTCCCAATCCTCTGATCTCTCGCTTCTTCCTTGCTTCCGTTGAAATGGCAATTGTCGAAAACACCAATGGTGATGACAGTACATGGATCATGAACTTCCCAAGTATACTGCTCATTCCAGCGAGGAGTCAGAGTGTTGAGAAGCGTTCTGGTTCGCACCCACTTGTTTCCGTACTTGGCCACGCAGTAGGCATCAGTAGTCCTACCCTCCTTTCCCTTCATAGGCGGCAAATTTTTGGCACTCAGGATCCCAAGCTCAAGAATCCCAATGCCCGGTTTCCTCAGGAACTTGGACGACGGCTGAAGATCGCTGCTAAAGTGAGTGGACTCATCAAGAACATGATAACCGGCCTCTAGACAGATGCGAAGCTGAATCTTACTCGAGAACTTCTCCTTCTTCTTTTCACTTTCTTCTTCAGCAGCTGCTGAATGCTTGCGGAGATTGAACCATTTAGGCTCGGGGAGCTTCTGAGTGTGAGTGTCAATTCTCTGAGGAACGTCCCTAACCGAAAGAATCAGGTTCCCTAATACCTCGTCCTTTCCAGGACCAACCTTATCATCGACTGATATAATTATGAATTCGTCGAAAGGCTCGGAGGCCACGAACATGAGCTCATCGTTCCAAATGGGGTTAACAGTGCGCACTTGGGAAGCCCTTGTGACTCTGAGCTGATTCCCAAGCTGTACCTTGACATATGTATCCAAGGGGCGGTTTCTGTCCCAAGGGACAAGATCCTGAGCCTGCAGAACTTGAACTCGAAGGTAATATAGCTTGGGGGAGAAGTAAACCTTTGAGCGAGTGGAGGCCAGATTGACGTGGCCAATGTCGTGCGCATCGGAATGCCAGGCGTCGGGAAAAGACTCGTCGGCCTGAGTCCCCACCCAAACAGCAAGCATAAGCTCTCCTGCCACCTTGCGCCCGTGCTTGTCCTCCAACCTGTACCACTGAGGAGCCAGAGGGCTGTCGGGCGGCACGCGAAGGGGGACTTCGGTGAGGTCGAAATGTAGTCTCCCCACAAAATCATCCTTGGCAAAATCCTTGTCTTTGACGGTGACTTCAAGCTGATTGGATTGCAGGCGCTCTTTCGAGAAGGCGAAAATCTGGTTCCACACGGGGTTCTGGTTCTTTTCCAAATGCTTTGTCACCCCTCTGTAGTTGCCAAGCTTCACCTCCACATAAGGATCAAGGCTTCCTGTAACATCCATGGCGGGAAGATCTCTCGCCTTCACCACACTCACATACAAGAAGTGCATCTGCTCAACCAGATCGTATGTGCTCGAAGTCTTGTCCCCTCCAAATCCAAACCCTCTGTACCGCCGCGCTGCTAATGGTGGACTTGTCTCCACCAGGGCGAATTCCGGGTTCTGCCGCGGAGCCTGCTGCTGCATGTGCATAACCGTGGCAGGACCCGCCCGGGCAAGATCCGTCCTTGTTTCGACGGTGGGCGCCTTCTCCTTCATTTGGTATGTCTCAAATCCAAACCCGGATGACATTGGAGGAGGTGGATAGGAACCCGCCACCTCCGCCGCCCGCCACCTCCTCCGCCACCGCCACCGCCACCCGTCCCAGTACCGATGGTGTGGAAAGTTCTCACTTCCTTTTCCTTCTTCTTCTTGATCTTCTCTCCCCCAAACTGGCGGTGTTGAATCTCCTCATCGATCCTATTAGTATTGATTTCCTGCAGAGGAGGAGGAGGAGGAGCAGCCTCTGCAGCACCACCAGTGCTAGCAGTAACAAATTCATCATTTATCACTGGCGGTGCTTGCGGTGGCGGAGCAAAGTCACCCTTGCTACTGTAATCTTGAACAGCGTAGATTCTGAGGGCAATATCGCCTTTGACATTAGAGAAGAGGCCGCGTTTATCAAGCGGGTAGCGCTGGACGGTGGCCTGAGACTCGGAGAGAGGGACGGAGACGCCGGAGATTCGCACACGGCCGAGGAAATTCTTATGGTGTCCGGTTTTTCTGTCATTGTAAACGACAACGTCGACGGTCTTGTGGGAGAGGTGAGATGGGTCGTCGATGTTGAAGACGAGCTTCTCGTTCCAGTAAGGATTGAGATCTTTGGGCTTGGTCTGAGTCCGCTGCCGCTGCCCCTCGAAGTCCACCTCAACGAAGGGACTCGCAAACCCGTCGCCATCTTTGGGCATCAGGTCGCTAGCGTCGTGAACTTCCACCACGAGTTTAGTACTGGCCATGGCTAGCTCGGCGGAGCTGAGAGAGCTCAGAGGAGTTTGTCTGGTAAAATGGAAGGGTAGCTAGAAGGAGTGGGAGTGAAGGAGAAGAAGAAGAAGACAGTAGTGGTGGTGGGGAGAGGAAGAGTTGGCGGAGGTGGTGGAGATGAGGTGAGGGTATTCGTTTGGAGTAAAAAGACAGAAACAAATGTTAGAAAGGGCGAGAGAGAAAAGTGTCGAGTCGAGGAGTTTGGTGGGGAGAAGTGTGAGGTGGCCCTTTTGGATCATATGGCATATTTGACAGGGAAAGATTCTGGTGGTGGTGCCGGTGGGTGCGTTTGTGCTTTTAGGAAATTAGGAGAGACATTTTATAATGCTATGCATATTCCTGGAAAGGAAAATAAAAGGAAATTTAACGAAAAGTACGAGGCAAAAAATTATATTTTTACATAGTTAATTTTAGTACTATTTATTTTACCTTTTATTTTGTATTGTCATTAAAATTCAAAGTTTTTAAGCTTTGTTCATTAGTTTTCCTTAAAATAAATATTTACTTGTCATAACTCTCTTGTTACACAATGTTGTCGACATGAATATATACCATACGTTTTAATTCAAACATGGAGACAATCGCGACAAGTGGTTCAGTAAAAAAGTACAAATAGTAGCTCCTTAAAGGCAAAAAATAGTAAGTCTTAGGTTCGTATTTTGTAAGTTGTGAATCTACTTGATCGTGGTCACGAGTTGTAAGAGTATGAACATGAGATTGGATGTTTTGACAGTGAGTGACAGTCCAATTGGTATAAGAAAGCCTTATGAGAAGTTGTATACTAATTATTGTTTATAAAGGATTATGTTTTGATATTAAACTGATATGGATTAGAAAACATAAGTTGTTTTCTACAAGGATTTTAATAGGGAATCCTTATTGGATTAGGAGAAATATATGCCTATATATATTGTGACCTCTGCTGTGTGCTCTATTCGAAACTAAGTCCTATTCTTGGTTAGAGCGTGTAATAATGTAACAGAGAGGAGAAGAGTCCCAGTGCACAGAGATCGATTCGCAGCATTCATGGCATCTTCAAATGGAGGTTCATCAGGTTAGTGAAATTGCAATGCTTTTATATGGAAAAGGTTTTGTGCTTTACTTGATTGTATTACTGCAACTTAATCTTGTTCTTGGCTATAAAAGTTTAACACGACTAGGGTGCAATTCTCAACTAGCCTCATTCGGACCGGAAGATGTGAATAATCGTGGTTTGTCACTAGTTATCCTATTTTTCAAAGGAAGAAATTTTTTTATCGCCATGGAGACATTACTATTTTTTTGTAGAAAGGAAGTATGGCTAGAAAATATTTACATATATAGGAATATAACAAAAAAGAATGTTCTCTTGATCATCAGGTAACAAAAAAATATATGACCGCACATCTTTGGAGTTGATATTAAGAGTGAAGAATAAATAAAATTTATGTTAGTATTCTAATTCTCAATTGTTAGTATTAAATTTAACAAAGAATGATCATGAATCTTTAATCACCAAGTGACCAAGAGAACGATACATCTGTCAGATTTAAACTGTGCAAAACAAATAGATATATTTTAATATTTTAATCTCAACTCTTGATATCATATTGAATAGCGCGTTGGATCATAAATCATTGATCAGTTAGTTGACAAAGAGAAACCAGACATGTATGTAACTAAAATCCATTTCCTTGTTCATGTTCACGTATAAATAGCATACTGATGGATATTTGGGCATTTGCGATGAAGATAGGATAACATATCAAATAAGTGTATTCCCCTACTCCTATCATATAGGATGAGGCTTCACGTAAATCTCAATCACTAAAATCCTTAATCTCATCCCTCTCTCTACCACTATTGAATTTTGATGGAGATGGAAGTAATAATAGTGGGAAGATTTGTGGAGGAGATAATGTTTAGTTGGATGGGATGAAAGAAAATTGCTAAAATAATTGTTAGTGAAACTTGAAAGCGATCCTTCATTCATTGAAAACGAAACATCCACACTTTTGCCAAAAGCAATGTATATAAAATAATTATTAGTGAAGCTTGAAAGCGATCCTTCATTCATTGATGAAACGAAACATCCACACTTTTGCTAAAGGCAGCATATCCTTTCTTTTTAACAGGTATGTTATCCACATACTTCATTTTACTTGACACATACTTTTTATTATTTTATATTTTTTAATTTTTCTTAAATCATTTAAAACGATAATTAAAAATTAAAAAAAGATGCGTGAAAAATAAAACCAACATAACGCAATCCTTATTAATTAGGATCTCCCTCTGTCCCTGTCAGGGAATTAGGCAGATCCATTATTTTTCATTCATTTCTTCGAACTGTGCGTGTCAATGTTGTCAAGTCTTTTGGCCTCAAAGGTCAGCAGAATCATAATTCTCCCTTTGCCTAGAAGAAAGTAGATATTCTTTATATGGGAAAGAAAACATGTCACAAAGAAAAGATTCGAGGACAATTAGAATTACAAAAATCGCAAAGCTAACTTGATCTCGCTTAAGAATCAAGTTTTCTCTAAATGTCTCTTTTAACAAGTTTTTCTTTTCTTTTCTTTTTTAAATGTTTACTTACGTGACTGTTTGAAGACTAAAATTTATTGATTCACAATTTGCGACTCCACAAATTTTAATAATTTTTTTATATTAATTTCCCCCTTTTGATATTTTTCTTAGTATTTCATTTAGTAAACTTTGACAAAGACAACTTTTAATAGTCAGAAAAAGAAAATATTTGAAGAGTAGGATAGAGACTCTCTAAATCTAGAGATTGTAGACATTTAAACTCATTTCACGGACTCTACATAGCATAGAAAAATTTACATGACATTTCAAATTTAATTTTGTGATCTTTTTTAGAGATGCTCTGATATACAAGTAAAAATGTCTGCCAAAAAATTAATTTCTCATAATTGTGAAGAAAACGTAAATTCCTCCAACTTAAGGTTGTGATGTGTCTTAACGCTGATGGTGAAAGTAATCAATCTTTCCTTAAACTTTTTCCTACTACACGGAATGAGATGGCTCTTTGAAACAAAAATATTTATTTTATAATTAATTTACCGAAATAGATAAGATGCATAGGCAGAGAAAGAACAGAAAATTGTCTTCTAGATGAGCCGAGTCAGCTGAATTGCTTTACTGCCTTTATTGCATAGTACATTCACAGTCGTGGGTTTGCTTTTTCAAGGATATACACTCAGAAAAGCCCAAATGTTTGAATTATGCATCTTTCTTTATTTTATTTTACTTTATTTACTTAATTTAATCAAATATATATATTTTATGTTTCAATTGTGATATGTATGACGAAGAAAACCAGTTTCTTGGGGTGTGCCAGTTTGACTGGCACAAGACTTTGGTGTAAATAAAATACAATTTGGTCATATACTGATAGCGAATACAAGGTAAGGTGTGACATCAGGTTGTTACACAAAACGTTACATCTACCCAATTGTATATTTGCTTTTGCAATAAATGATTGAAAGAGTAAGAGGATGTATACAAAGAGAAGCGGTCTTATTTTGTTTTCTTCGTCTTTGTGAGTGGGAGGGAAGGGATTTGGGAAGCTTCCAACTCAGGTGATCGAAAGTCGTATTTGACAGAGTGCCACTGAACTATATCCTATGCTTACAAGGCGATCTTTCTTTCATATGACCATATGTATATATACAAGCTATTGGATCAAATGTAAAAGATATTGTTGAGAAAAAGATGATTATTTTTTATTTTTTTTTAACCCTTTGATTGCTAAAAGCTAAAGGCGATGTTTCTTTAGTATGAACATATACGCATGTTACCGTTTTACTAAAAAAAATAGAGTCTAGAGTTTATTAAGTAATTTGTATTTGTGAAGGTTGAGTACATGAGAATTTTACAATAGAGTAGGAATCCTATTACAATGACTATTATACGAAACTATAAATAACTTCCCAATTTAAGTTGAGACTATGACAATACTTTCAAAAGATAGTACATAGATATCATACACGTTTAACTTGTTGAGTGAGTTATAAAACCCTTACTAACAACCGCCTTTGTTGGAACATTTGCCAATTCGTCCTCAGACTTTACGAATGAATAGAATAATCTGGTACTCCAATCTCTCCTAATGAAATATTTGTCCACCTCAACATGCTTGATACGACTATGTTGAACTGAATTATGTGCAATATCAACAACTATAGAGAATCATTGCAAATCCCGGAGAAAATCCAAATTCAGTAATCTCTTAAACCAAAACAATTCACATAGTTCATTTGTCATGTCTCTATACTCAGCTTCTGCACTATATCGAGTTACTGTTCTAAAAATCGGACTAAGCGCTAGGCTCACTGTTCTAAAAATGGGCTCAGCGCTAAGCGATGGCTAACTGCCGCTATTTTGCCGTAGGCGTTTGGACAATTGGAAAAAAAATTAGGCGGCCGCCTACGGTTTAGGTGGTCCAGTCGGTGTATGCGGTTCGGTTATTTCTTCTTTTTCATAGCAACTCCTTCAGTTTCAGACGGAAAAAAAAAAAAACAGCTTTTTCTGTCTCCGCTGCTCTTTCTCTGCGTCTCGCGGTCGCATGAGTCTCCATGTGGAGCGTCGATACATTTGCGAATATGGGAGAGAAAGAGAGAGAGAGAGAGAGGGAGGAGTCGGGACATCACAGTTGCAGAGGCAAAGGATGAGGGTGACGGCGACCATGATTTTGCCGAGGATTGCTACTAAATAGGCTTTTTTAAATTCAGGTGACTTTTGATTGAGAAAAGGCCCACTCTTCCAAACAAATGATTTACATGGGCTTAGAAAATATTACAAGCCCAACAAAAATGAGCTCTAAAGTAGTAAAATTCAACACATAGACATATTTCATAATATATGTTTACATGTAGGGCTCGTTTGAAGTACTTTTAAAATGATTGAAAGTGTTTTTTGTCAAAACATTTTCAAAATCAATATTTAGTGAAAATTTAAGTGAATTATGAAAAAA